TATTTTTGGTACATTTGAGCTATCAAGAACTGTTAGAGGTCAAGCACACTCACTTATAACTACTGTCTACTCATGCTTTTGCAATTTTTGCTTTAAGGACGTTGATGTCATGCTATTTGATGCATAAACATTATGCTCAGATTTTCACTGTGGATTGCATTTACCAATTCTTAGTATAAATTGTACATTCTTTGTATTCAACCTTGTCAGTATCTTTACACTTGCTTTATTTTTATTTTCATTTACCTGTTTTCTCTCCTCACCCTACAAGGATGGCAAGTGACATTTTCCAGTTCTTGAGTAACTTGTGTTACATATTACACCATATTATTGAGTTTAGGTTTTTGATCGAATTAGAGTCAAGTTAACAAGTGAATTTATCTGATTTCCATTTATTTATATGACTTGTATGTTTAGTTTCTGTTACATCATCTTGAATTGTTTTATGTGTTTCTGTTCTTAGTGCTTTTTTAAAAAAAATATTTTGCTATATTGATGTTTACTATATTTTTGTGCATGTGTTTTCTATAATTTGAAGTATTTGTGGTTTTATTACTTTATTATTTAGAGTTACATAAATACACATGATATATTGTATATATGTGATATACACATATACATATATACATAAATTCATAATGCACATATATTAAATGTGTATGTGTACATACTTATGAGTATATACCTAAACACAATATGTAGTCTCTATTTCTTGATTTATCTTCTTTAAGCAATTTTCTATTAATTTCTATTTTAAAATATGAGGACATCAACCCCTAAACTTACTTCCATTTCCTCTATCCTTCACCTTATTGTTTCTACATGGAAAACATTTGTAACATTCATATTCTACGCTGTAAGCTAATTTCTATTGGTTCTATATCTAAATTAAGACCATTTACACCATCAATGCTTTTACTGTAGTTCCTCCTTTTTATTGGCTGCACATTTCTGAGTTATTGTGTGTGAAGATGTTTGTTGCCTTATACATGAATAAGGCATAATATCCTATATTATATGTGATAGTTTGCATGGCCTAATTTTCTTGGATCACATTTTCTTTCTCTTGAGAATTTCGTGGATATTGATCCCTAATTTTATAGCATTGAATATTGCTGAGGCAGGCCAGACATTTCCCTTTAGAAGTTTTATTTTTTCTTCTTATTTCTTGATGCCTTTAGAATTCTTTAGTTATTCTTGAAGTTCAGAAATTTTGTTTCAATGTTAGTAACTTTTATAAGATTGAAAATTCAGGTAATCCTATTATGGAGAAATTCTCTTGTAACTTTAAATATATATTCCATTCCATTTATCCTTCTACTTCAGTGCCCTGGTTAGGCACATGTGGCTCTTCTTTTGCTGACTTTTCCTTCTAATCATCCTAAATCATTTGATATTTATTATTTCATTTTGTGTGATTTTTCTCTAGGCTTTCTTCTTGACTCTCTTCTCAGTAGTGTTGCTGCTTCTAATATTTCTTTCTTATATATAATTGTTTTAGTATCTTTTCCCATTTCTTCTTTGGCTCTATCAGCTCTCTTGCCTTCATCAATTGTTATCTTATTATTTCTTGCTGAATCCTTGTATCTCTTTGTCAAGCTCTGGTTTCAAAAAAGCCGTATTATTTTGATATCATAGAACAAAAATATGTTCATTGATTTTGTGATGTAGTTATTTTGGTAAGCATGCTTTGACTTTTTTTTTTTTTGCCTCTCTGAACTTTATTTTTTAAAACATTTTATTATTCCTTAGGTGAAAATTTACACAGCAAATTGGTTCCCCACTGAACAATTCATATACAAATTGTTCCATAGCAATTGTGGTTGCTATACGTGCAATGTGCTAGCACTCTCCCCATTTCCACCCTGCCTTCTCTGTTTCCATCCCTCCAGTTTTCCTGCCTCTCCTTGCCTTGTCATCTTTGCTTCTGGGCAAATGTTACCTGTTTGGTTTTCATTAGCTGATTTTTCTAAAGAGCACATTCCTCACTGGTGTTATTTATTTTTTCTTTTTTTTTTTTATTGTACTTCAGGTGAAGGCTTACAGAACAAATAGTTTCTCATGAAACAGTCGTACACATATTGTTTTATGACATTGGTTAACAACCACACAACATGTCAACCCTCTCATTTCTCAACATTTTTTTTTTTTTTGGTGAAAATGCACATAGCCAAAGATACACCATTTCAAAAATTTCTACATGCACAGTTCAGTGACATTGACTACGCTCTTCCAATTGTGCTGTTATTCTCACTTAAGGTGAAGGCTTACAGAGCAAAAATAGTTTCTCATTTAACAGTTACTACAAATGTTGCCCTACGACAATGGTTAACAATCTCACAACACATCAACAATATCCTTACTCAACCTTGGGTTCCCTATCACCAGCTTCCTTGTCCCCTTCTGCCTTCTGACCCTTGTCACTGGACTCCTGTACCTCGTTAGTCTCATTTGGTTTTACGGGGCTGTCCACTCCCAGGCTGAACGGTGAACCTCGGAGGTAACTTCACCACTGAACTAAAAGGGTGTCTGGGGACCATACTCTCGGGGTTTCTCCAGTCTCCCTTAGGCTATTTTTTTCTTTTTTTAAATGCCAATCTATTAACTGGCTGAAGGGTGACCTTCAGGAGTGACTTCAGTTACAGGTTGAAAGAGTGTCTTCGGGCGATAGTTTCTGGGGTTCCTCCAGCCTCTATCATTCCAGTAAATCTGGTCTTTTTTATAAATTTGAGTTTTGTTCTACATTTTTCTCCCATTCTAACCAGGGCCTTCAGTTTTGTCCCTGGTCAGAGCAGTCAGTAGTGGTAGCCAGGCACCATTTGGTTCTTCTGGTCTCAGGTTAGAGGAGGCTGTGGTGCATGTAGGCCATTAGTCTTTTGGACTAATTTCTTCCTGGTGTCTTTGGTTTCCTTCACTCTCCTTTGCTCCAGACAGGAAGAAACCAATAGTTGTATCTTAGATGGCTACTTTGATTGACTTTTGTTTGCTATAGTTATTTTTTCTTTTTTCTAGTCATTTTTATATAGGTGTCATACTAAATTAAAAATAATAATAATAATAACCCATCTTTGAATGGTGTAGCTCTTTCCCCCAGTAGTTACTTGCTCAAGAGGAGTGTTGCGGGGAGTGGTGGAATAGTGAGCTGGATTTTAGTCTGCCGACTCAGTAGCTGTTTTCACCAACACTCTTCCCTGGTAATAATGATTCAGCTCTGGGCTCTCAAAACTGGGCTTGCAGTGAAGCACTACCCATCAAGATAATTTGAATAGTGATTAGTGCTCACGGGGCCTTCTTCATGTAATGATGGTGAGTCTGTGCAGTTCCTCATTTGGCCCCACCCCCTCTAACAGTCTGTGGCATCGTACGAAAGCTCAGAATGTTGCCACAGTTGATCAGTGCTCTTTGAGCTTGCCATTTTACAGAAATAATTGCAGGTGCGTGCCCTCAGGGTCTGATCTTCTAGTTGCCTGACATCTGCATAAATACAGGTCTGCTTTTGGCATCCTCCTTTGATTTGGTCCAAAGTTCACCTCAATTGGCTACTTTTATACATGGATTATGATTTGAGGTTCTCATTATTTCCTCATTCTATTTAAGATTAATTTTTTTCTCTTTTATTTAAATATTCTCTCTTGTTTTTCTTTGGGTTTAGGGAGAAGAATAAGGTAGAATTGCCTTCATCCAGACACTTTTAACTAGATGTTAGTTCCAATATCATCTGGCTAAATTTACACCTGTATTTATTAATAAAATTGTTCAATTAATTCTAGTTGAATTCTTAGAATTAGCCAGACTTTGAGATAGTGGATGCTATACAGAAATGAAAGGAAAAAGATCCGTGCAAGGAATACTCAAGCGGAGACAAAAAAGTAAACCAACCAACACAATGTATTAGTGAGCGTTAGAACCATGAGAGTGGTATGTGCAGGATGTCAGGAGGCATGGAAAATGAGCTTCCTCCTCAGACTGAGGTTTCAGAAAAAGACTGCTCAAAAGAGGCAATGTTTAAATGAGGTCTTAAAAGATACATAGAAGTTCTCTGCGTTTGGGTGTGGTTCTTGGAGTGCGTACATAAGAAGATGAAAGAGCATGTGTGAAAGAATGAGGTGTGAAAGAACTTACACTCAGGGATTGCAAGTAGATCAGGATAATTAAAGCACAGGGCGTCTAACGGGGCCTGAGCCTGGAGAACTGGGTGGAATAGACCACGGTGAGTCTTTTTAGATCCTTGAGAAACCACTGAAAGATTCTAAGTAGCTGGAGGCAAGAGCAAATCAGTGTTTGAATGATTTATCTGGCAGCCAGTTAGAAGGTGGATGGGGGTGAGTGAAGGGGCGTGACTAGAAGAGGGCCAGCAAATTTGAACTCCATCATATTATTTCAGGTAAGAAGTATGAGGTCTTGTTTTAAGCTATGACAGTAGAGATTGAGAGAAAAGGTGTTTAACAGGTATGAATGATTTGAGCATGATTATCTGTAGGGGTTGGCTGGAGAAAGGGACTATCTATAGTAACTCCAAGTTCATGACCAGGACACTTACGTGGATTACCGTATTTTTACACAAATAACCTCATCTTCAAATCTGTGGATCATGTGGATCATGGCTACTATACTGGACTGATTATAGAACATTTCAATCTCCACAAAATGTCTTATTGCCCTCGTCTACAGAGTGAAAAGAGCAGAACTTTGAGGTTTATGAGAACACTGCTATTATTGATATTTTTGTTGTCACTGAAAAAGAAGAGCCTAACAAAAAAGGGGGAGAAGGTGCTTCTATCCATTAAGTGCCTTTTAATGGGCTTAGCAATTGATGCTATTCAAATGTTATCTGTGATCCCCAAAACTGCCCTGTGAGATTGGTAATGCTAATCATTTTTATTGAGGCTCATTATGGTTAATTATCCCAAGATCCCCAGGCTAGTAAGTGACGAAGCTTTAACTGGAATCTAAGTATATATGGTATTCTGAGTCTAATGATTTTTTTTTATTACTCTAAGCTGCCCATGCTAAGAAGACCAGGAGACAACAGTGCCACCAAAGCCAAGGAGGAAGACAATTTCATAAATGAGGGCATAGCAAATGGCACAAGAGGTCCAGTAAGGTAAGGTCAGGAAAGTGTTCATTGGATTGGGCAACAAAAAAGTTGCTACTAACTTTGTTGAGAACAATTTCAATGGAGTGTTGGACTGACGCCCTACTAGAGTGGGTTGAATATAGCTCTATAGTCATATAGAGCACAGGCATGGTTTTTTTTAAGAGATTAGATATAGATGACTTTTTCTTCACATAAAAAGTGGCTTGATGAAAAGATGTGTTTCAAGTTTTTCGAACTGTGTATATTAAATGCCTTAAAGCTACATCTTTCATCTTTGGTATAATCAGAAGAGACTGGATCCTTAGTTACTAGCTATCTGACCTTGGGCTAGTCACATAACTCTCTAAAAATGTTTTTGCCTCTATGCAATGGGGTTAAAAATATCTACCTTGCCTACCTAGTAGGGGTGTTTAAGCATCAAACAAAGCAGAGTGAACTTGATAGTGAACTGTAATGTGATACATAATATAATATGCTATTCCTTCCTAACTGATGAAATAAAAATTATATTAAAACTCCACAAATTTACTCCAAAATTTTTATACATCTATTGGACATTTTCAGTTAAAATTATCAGCTCTGTATTGCTGGAAAGGAGTCCCAAGTGGTGCAAATGGTTAAGCCCTGGGCTACTAACAAAAAGGGTGGCAGTTCCAACCCACCCAGAGGTACCTCAGAAGTAAGGCCTGGTTATATGCTTCTGAAAGGTCACGGCCTTGAAAACCCTGTGAAGCAGTTCTATTCTGCACACATGGGTTTGCCATGAGTTGAAATCAACTCAGTATCAAATAACAACAACATATCCCTGGAAAAGAATAGAAAAATTAACCATCTTGTGTTGGCTTCTCCCAACCAAGCCTTACAACTCCACTATTGACGTTTTGAAACCAAGACTCATGGATCCTGTGGGTAATCCTTATTTAATATTTATGCCCTAGTTAACCCCACCAAAACTGGATGATGGAGAAGAGACAACTTTTCCCCTCTCCAACATGTTTAAAGGAAGAGAAAAATGATTCAGATTCCATAACCAAGAAAAGCCACAGTTTATGAGATAGGTATTTCTAATTATTGGCAAACTAGATGAGTACCTATATCTAGAACGTGATAAATTCCTGTAAAAACTTAGCATTAGATCTCAAAGAAGCAAACTCTATTGATTACATAAAGTAGAGAATGCCCAGAATTCTGCTTCCTTTTAAGCTATGTTGATGATTGGGTTGGAGAGAAACCACTGTGCTTCCCTTAAAGCGAGGATAAGCACGAGACGACGCATTTTTGTTACCAGACCATGAAAAACCTAGAAAGATTTCTCAGGTGCTTCTCTGGATGAGAACTCTGCAGTTGAAAATATTTTCTGCCCAACAGAAATGTTGATCACTTCCTAAACTCCCTGGTTGTAAACATTAAAATCGTCCCACACCTACTCTAGCTAAATCTGAAGTACTATCAAGGAGGACACTTAATATTTTAGATCAGAATAAATCAGAGGAGGATTGTAAACCATTTGCCAATAAATGTTTTCTCATTCTCCTCTGAAACTTTTCTAATCAGCCTCAAAGCTTATTGAACCCACAAGAAGTTTACTGGAAATGTCAGCTATTAAATAGACATTTTACAGTAAATGAATGTTAGTGTCACATAGTTCAGACCACAGGCCCTGGCAGCCCAGAGACAGGGTTGCTTGTAGCAAACTGTGCACTGACAGGAAACAAACTTCTCAGCTGGGTCCTACCACAGTGCTTTGGCCTTAAGCTGCAAGAGGGAAAAGTCACCAACCACCACCCCAGCTATTGCAACTGAGTTGCTGTAATTAAGACAATATTATGGGGGCCAGGTAAAATATGAAGAAAACCAAAGTCTTGGTGGGTTTTTAAAAACCTATTAAAACCAATTTTTTTTTTTTTTGGTTGAGATTCATCATGTTACTGTCAAATGGTCAAAGGAAGGTGTAGAGGGAAATCCCCAACCCCCACTGCAGTGGGTTAGGCCATTGACTTGGACTCTGTTTACTGACATTTTAGCAGAAATGTGTGGTTTTAAACTACCATGGAAGAACCAAAAATCCTATCAGGCTGAGTTTTAGTCATGTGACTTCCAGAAAATAGGAGAAATCGTCATTATGGTGCCCGGGGTAGAATGCCTCCATTGTATAATGCTGGTGGCAATTTTCAATCAGCTGTGTGTATCTCCCGTGTTGGCGGTGAGATTGATTTTTGAAGGGATGCTAACTTAGCCCTTGTGACAATGAAGTTTCTTCCCATCTATTTAGGGCTCATCCTCTCATCTGTGTGCTTGATCCCATCTCTGACTTCCTGAAGATCCTTCACTGATCATATCCCTTATTCTCCAAATATGCTCAGTCACCTCCATCTTAAAACAAGTAGAACAAAAGCAAATGAACAAATGATCCTGCCACAATTTTCCACTTACCTTTATTTACCTAAAGCTTTTTCTTCTTCCCTTCACAGCTATAAATATTTGACTAATAATAGCATCTTAAATGTCAAATCCAGTGACCTTAGCATCATTATCTGGTAAGTGGGCAGAATGCTCCTATTTCTCCAATTAGACCCTGTTTCCACTGTATCAGGGATGAGCCCTGGATGCTCTCATAGTCTTTGAGGTACAGATTTATTTGGCATCATCTTAAGTGATTCCATTCACCTGTTTGGTGGCTCAGGGCCTCTTCTGTGACTGGTGGCCCAATATTAATTCTAAATAGGGCCCAGAACTCCAGTGCCTTGGTTAGCTCCTGCCAGTCCTTTTTTCTTACCCCTGGATTTGGGTTTCATCTCTGGTGGGAATTCCTATTACATAAGGACAGCTCTCCTGGGACAGACCATTGTCTGATTCACACAGGCACATATTGTGTCATCTCATAGTGTGTCACATCAAATACTGCATCATCAAAATGGAGAGTAAATAGTATGTGTCCAAGGTGAAACTAAAAAGAAAATAGTGTTAGGGCTTCACTAACCAATTTTTTTTTCTTAAAATCAGTTGCTATTGAGTTGATTCTGACCCATGGCGACCTCATCTGTGTCAGAGTAGAACTGTGCTCCATAGGTTTTTCAATGGCTGTGACTTTTTGGGAGTAGGTCACCATGATTTTATTTTGAGGTGTCTCTGAGTAGACTTGAACCTTCAATCTTTTGGTTAATAGCAAGCACTTAACCGTTTGCACCGCTCAGGGACTCTGAGCCAAATATCAAGCAAGGGAAAGACCAGACACATGTACTGGAAGGAAACATGTTTAGAATAAGAAAGAATAAGATGGATTTTCTTTTCCTTTTTTTTTTTTTTTAAAGAAAATATCAATGTTAATAATATAGCAATAGCATAAGCAAAAGAATATAAGTATAGGAACAAAGACAGCAGGGTTGTGGGTAGAAAGAGGTTTTCCGATGTAGAATTGACAGATCTCGGAGTTTAATTTTACATAAGATGGGTGAGGGAGAGAAGTTGCAAATATAACTGATTGGCCTGTAGTACTGTCACCTGAGCTGCTGCTCAGAGGCATTGGATCTGGAGGGAGGGCCAGCAATAGGGAAAGATAAATTGAGTAGTGTTAGAAAGACACAGGGATCCCAGAAATTTTGGGTTTGAGTCTCAGCCTATCCCTTGGCAAGCTGTGAAATGCCAAATAAAGCCATTTCTAAGTGCTTTTATCTGCAAAATACACAAGGGAGCTTTACAGCTGTGCTTTGTCAACTTCCCAGGGTGGTTGTGAGGGTTATGTGAGAAAACTGAGGTCCAAGTACTCAGTACATTGTAAAGTTTTTGTTGTTGTTGTTAAGTACCATCAAGTCAGTTGCCTGCTCCTGCACCATCCTCACAATTGTTGCTATGTTTGAGCCCGTTGTTGCAGCCACTGCGTCAATCCATTTCATTGAGGGTCTTCTTTGTTTTTGCTGACCCTCGACCTTACCAAGCATGATTTGTTCGTTCTTTTGGCAGTCCATGGTATATTCCATATTCTTTGCCAATACCACAGTTCAAAGGCGTCAATTCTTTGGTTGTCCTTATTCATCGCCCAACCTTCCATATATATGAGACGAACAAAAACAGCATGGCTGGAATCAGTCACACCTTAGTCTTCAAGGTGACATACATGCTTTCAACACTTTAAAGAGGTCTTTTGCAGCAGATTTGCCCAATGCAATGCGTCCTTTGAAAGGTGTGCGTCAGGGTTGTATCCTTTCACCATACTTATTCAATCAGTATGCTGAGCAAATAATTCAAGAAGCTGGACTATATGAAGAAGAATACGACATCAGGATTGGATTGCATCCTTTGATTTCTTGACTGCTGCTTCCATGGGTGTTGATTGTGGATCCAAGTGAAAAAAATCCTTGACAACTTCAATCTTTTTTCTGTTTATCATGATGTTGCTGATTGGTCCAGTTGTGAGGATTTTTGTTTTCTTTATGTTGAGTTGCAGTCCATGCTGAAGGCTGTGGTCTTTGATCTTCATCAGTAAGTGCTTCAAGTCCTTTTTACTTTCAGCAAAAAGGTTGTGTCATCTAAGTAATGCAGATTGTTAACGAGTCTTCCTCCAAACCTGATGCCGTATTCGTCTTCATATAGTCCAGCTTCTTGAATTATTTGCTCAGCATACTGATTGAATAAGTATGGTGAAAGGATACAACCCCGACACACACATTTCCTGATTTTAAACCACACAGTATCTCCTTGTTTTGTTAGATCGACTACCTGTTGGTCTATGTACAGGTTCTTCCTGAGTACAATTATGTGTTTTGGAATTACTGTTCTTCACAATATTATCCATAATTTGTTATGACCCACACAGTCAAACTCAGGTTAACATCTTTCTGGTGTTCTCTGCCTTCAGCCAAGATCCATCTGACATCAGCAATGATATACCTCATTCCAAGTCCTTTTCTGAATTCAACTTGAATTTCCGGAAGTTCCTTGTTGATGTACTGCTGCAACCACTTTTGAATGATCTTCAGTAGCATTTTACTTGTGTGTGACATTAATGA